GAGCAGCTGTCACTTGGATACACTAATTTTGTTACACTGATTTTGTTTCCTTTGGCTGTGCACCCAGCAGTGAGATTGCTGAGTCATATGGCAGTTCTATTTTTATTTATTTATTTATTTATCTTGGGATTTTTTTTTTTAAATTGGAGCATATTAATTACACAGAGTAGTAGGTTCAATTGTGGCATATTCATACATGCATGTAGCATTATAGGATCAGATTCACTCCTCAGTGCCTCTCTGGCTCTCCCCTCCCCCATCTGGTCTTCTTCCTCTAACATAATGATCTTTTTTCTACTTTCCTGATGTCCTTTTTCTTGAGTGCCTTTGCTCTCAAGATGTGCAGGAGCATGAGAAACTCATTGAGAACTGTCTTCCATGGGCTGTCAGTCTTAGCTGAGACTGTTGGCCTCTGCTTGTGGCTGAGCTTCTTTATGGAATGGCTTTTAGGTTCCCTAAATAGAGAGCCAGGCAGATGCCACATGACCTTTTGGGATACAGCTGCAGACATCAGGCAGTATCATTTTTGCAGCCTCCACAGAAATGGAAATTCTTTGATATAGCCACATAAGTCTGAGTTTAAGGGAAGGAGTAGCTTTCATTGCTTTGATGATAAATTTGCAATGTTCTAGAAAGGTGTCTGGCATATTTTTGGAGAACACCATTTGTCACCCCCAAACTACTGGATAACTGAAAACTCTTAAATGTGTCCATCAGGTGCTCAGAAGGAAGAGAAGGCCTGGACACGGCTGCAAGACTCAGCAACCCCAGAATCTGCCATTGGCAGTGATTTGATGGACCTGGATGACATCACATCAGGTCAGATTAGCCAGGGACAGGAAGACAAGTGCCCCCTTCTCTCTGATCCATGGTCCAGTTATACAAGTCCAGTTGAAAATAGAATTGTGAATACCAGGGACTGGAAAGGGTACAAGGGGGAGGGAGGGAAGGGGGTGATTGGGTTTGACCAGTGACTGCTTTGTGCATGTTTTGGAATATTACATTGAACCACACGAACCTATACAATTAGCACATGTTAATGAAAAAGGAAAGAAGTCCTTAACAGCTACACCAAAAAGTGATTAGAACTGTCACGTTCTTCACTACTTAAAACACTCAGGGTCATCCCAGGGGAACTGGGCTGCACCAAATACCACACAAGATACAGAGGTACCTTTTTCTTTGGGGTCCTGTGACAGCTCCTCTGACCTTAAGGGTCCACAGAAAGAGAGCGAGTGTATGCTGAACCCTATTATTGGGGAGAAGCCATTCAAATGAGGCAAGGGGTCAGGTTTAGGGGGTTGAGTCTAGCTTTGTGATGTCTGCTGTCAGCAGATTGACTGACATCTAGGAAGGCCACACCCAAAGGCACAGCAAGAGAAGGGACACGCAAAGTGTTTCCATGGAACATTCTATCCCAAACAGGGCAAAGGGGTAGTATCACAAAGGAACAGATGAGCATAGCTCAATCCATGGGGCGACACGCCTATATCTGAAGGCATGTCCTCAAACTTCCGTGACCAGGGCAATGTCCAGGTAACTACGAGATGTAGTTATGGTCAAAGTTTCTCCGATCTGGGAAGGAGAATGTGAATCATTCGGACTGGCTCCCCACATAGAACAATAAATGAATTCAGCAAAGTTGCATTTACACAACATGAAATGCTTAGAAACTTGTTCAATGTGGGAAATGATTCTGTAATGAAAACAATAAACTATTGAAGAAAGACATTGTAGAGGGCAAATAAATGAAAAGTTCTCACATATTAATGCATTATAAGAATTAACATTGTTAAAATTAAGTCCACTTTACCCATGGATAGTTTCAACAGCAGAAGTAAGAATGCATAAACTTTAGGACAGATAATTTGAAATAACACAGTCAGAAAACAACATAAAGCCTTTAAAAAAAGACCCAGCATGCACAAGCCCCTGGGATCAATCCTGCACTGAAAAAAGAAAAGAAAAAAAAAGCCTTTAAAGCACCTGACCCAGTCAACATGAGGTGTAACAATAACACGATAGCTCCTTGGAGGCTTTCCTGACAAAATTGAAAAAAATCATAGATTGAATCATCTAAATTGAGGAACAATCTGTAATTGGGAAAAGAAATTTTTAAGTAGTCTTCCCACATAATGGTGAATATTCTTTGATACTCCACCAAAACTTGACAAGATTAGTTGCAAAGTGAAATCTAAGATTATATCCCAGTACATTAAAATCTGCTTGCTTAACTCAAACTAACTTGTGATGTCATGCATGAGTCATTGGGAAAACATTTGTTTACTGAATTATCTATTTCAGCTGTTCTTAGCTGGGGCTAATTTGTATTCTAGAAAACGTCTGGAGGTGGATTTGCTTGTCCTCTTGGTGGTTGCTCCTGACACCTTGTGGATAAAGTCCAGAGGTGCAGCTAAACCTCCTGCAAGCCTCAGCCACAAAACAGCAACACAGATCAAAGTGTCAGTAGTTGGGAAATACTAATCTATTTAATGTTGACACATTTCATTACACATTATAAAAATTTGTATTTGTAAATATAATCACCATTTTTGGAATGTTTTTAAATGTTGGGAAATTGTTGAGGTGATTATGGTGGATACAAATTATCACAAAACTAATTTTAGATTTGACACTTAAATTTTATTATTCACAAAATATGTTCTTAATTATTTTAATTTAAAAAATTATGTCCAATATTACAGGGAGGAAATTTCCTAGAAATTCCAAAATATTTCTATTTCCTCTTTTTTCCTGGAGAACTGCAAGTATGACTAATCCCACTGAACATAGCACTGGGGAGGAGGGCTGGATATGGAGCTTCAGCCAGCTGCCCTACAGAACCTGCCAGATTTATTCTTGTGTGTTACAGGAGTTTCTGATGAAAGGTCAGACCTTCAGAGAGATTTTCTTTGTAATGTTTTTATTAGTGTATTTTGTTAAACATAACAGTGGGGTTCATTGTGGCATATTGTGTATGTACCTTCTTTTTTTTAAATACATATTTTTTAGTTGTCAATGGACCTTTATTTTATTTATTTATATGTGGTGTCTCACACATGCTGGGCAAGCTCTCTACCACTGAGCTACAGTCCCAACTCTTTATGTACCTTCTTTGTTCCATTTAAGTACCAACTACTTCCTCTTTCCTGTCCCTCTTCCAGCTCCATAATAATCCTCCTCTTCTCTACAGGTCCCCTTCTATTTTCTTGTTGTTTTAATATTGCATTCTAATTCCACACACAGGATTCAAGATGGTGGGCTGGAGGAAGCTGGCATTTCCAGTTGCTTGGGATTCAGGTGCAGTGGGTGCTGCCCTGGATGCAGACATCTTTAAGTACTGATGCACTGGATTCTGACCAATTATTGCCTTCAGTGTCAGTAATTTGAGTGTTATCCCCGCTCAGATAACAAGGTGTAAGTGTCACCCCGCTGGGGCTGGGGTTGAGTTACACTCACCTATTCCTTTATAATCCTACCCCTTTGCCCTTTTTGGGATAGAATATTCCATGGAACAGCATCCCCCAATAAAACCCAGGTTTGAGGCACGCTCTCCCTCTTTTTCTTATCTGCCTTGCCTGCCTTGCCTCCTTTATGGGAGCTAGGTCAGAGGAGCCATCACAGAACCCCCCCTACCCCCCCAAAAAAGATATTTCTCTCTGTTTGATTATTTCGTGCCAGCCCAGTGTGCCAGCACAGTTCACTTGGAGTGATCCTTACTGGTTTAGTCGTGGGATGCAACAGGGTATATTTCTCAGCCAGGTGGATGAAAGAGGAATTTCAGCACTAAAACTCAGTACTGAACAGTTAGAGTGTCTTAGGGACTCAGAAATTTGGGCACATTGAAAAAGAAGAAAGACTACTTTGGAGCTGACCCAGGTGTAGCAGCGTCTTCGGCTGCAGCACTAGTTCACCACAGAGGGAGACACAATGGACAGATGTGGACAGAAACACCTGGAATCAGGAAGGCAGCCTGGACTTAGCTGATCCAGAGGCTGCACTGAGAAGAGGTGTTTGCAAATGCTGTCTGTTTCTCCACTGGCTGCAGAGAGCTGAGGCAGGAGCATCTGGAGGAGGCCATGCTGCAGCTGCTGTTGTGGAGCTGGGAGGTCATAGAAAACATGGTCACACTGTCCTGGCAAGTGCCTACTGTGTAGCTAAAGAAACGGGAGCAAAAGATGTACAGAGAAAGTTGTATTAGGGGGATTCTGTCAGAAAAGCCAAGGGGAGCCCAACTGGCTTTCCCTTTGGGTCTGGCAGCTCACGTGACCATCTGAGGTGGGTGGGAATACTCTCAGCGACTCAGCCTGGGAAGGCTGTGTTGGTGGGCAGCAGAGGGGTGAGGGATTGGCTCCCCTGCTCCTGGAGGAGAACTCCTGGGAGGCTCCAGACTCTCAGCAGAGATCAGCAATGGCCATGCTGTGGAGTGTGTTGATCTAATCTCTCCAGAACAGACACTTCCTGGGCCTCAGAAGGCAGTTCCTCCAGCTCTGGTCTGTTAGGGCAGTGCTCTGTATTGTATTGTCTGTGTCATGAACTGGTTCTCTATAGCACAGGACACCCAGTGCTTTGGTCACAGTCCCTTCAGTCCAGCTGGGTGTGTGCGGCAGTCACCTGCCCAGCCAGCACAATGGACTGTGTGTTTCCAGACGGGGTTTTGTGGTGGCTTCTGACCACACATGCAGCCCAGGTCAGGCACTTTCTGCTCAACACGACTTTTGGCTATGGCACCCAGGCTTTTCGTAGGATAGGATATTGGATATTTTTCCAAAGCAAGGCTACCGTACAACAGATTCAGGTGACTTGCTTCAGTGAGCTGCCACTGTGGAAATCATGTCATTCCCAGAGATGAAGTGAGATCATCAGCATCTGTGCTGGGAAGTTCCCAGGACCCTCTCCTTCACCCTCAATCCTGCCAAGGGGGAACTCCTCTTTCTGATGTGAGCTGGCTGGCAGAGGCGAGGATATTTTGTTTCTCTTTTCATGCTGTTGTTCTAGGTCTCCAGATCTTTCAAGGTTCCAATATCCTCCCTGCTGATTTCCATGTCCTCCCACAGCCACTAACCTCAAAATGTGTCTGTGCATTTGTTACTGTGGTTATTTTCTGTGGAGGGGGAGGCGGACCCTGGGTCAGGAATTCCACCATCCTGGGTCCAGCTATTTTCCTTGATGTTACAAATCACAGTGAATCTTCAAGAAACTGTTTTAGGAATACAGAGGCCTGAATAACCAAAGTTTGTCTGTTGTTTGTGTGGTTAGAATGGCCCGTGAGAAGGGTGTCACCATTTCTTAAGGTCAATCACATCACCTGTTTTCCTCAAGACACTTAGTACAACGTATGTACTTCATGGGTGATCGGCTTCTTCTACTTTTCTTGTGTGAATGACAAGGGGTGGGGACAGCAGGTGACACTGCTTTCACGGGCACCCTGAAAGAATTGTAGGGATTCCTAGGTGCCAGGGACCAAATTCAGAGAACTTCTTCCCTAGACTTAGGTGAGAAGAAAATTTTATTGGAATATTCTAACTTAGAATATTCTATTTACTAATGCATTGGTAATTACACTTTTAAGCACAAGATAATTTGCATATCTAGTTTTCAAGCCACCTTTAGCAGACATACTGCCAGATCAGCAGTTAGACAGAGATAGAGACTTTCCAATTTGTAGTTACTTCAAACTCTGCAAGAGGATAAACAAAAGAAATTAAGAAGCAACCTCTGACCTCTCTCTCAGTGGTTTAGTTTATTATCAATTCCAGTTAAGGACTGGAGATCATTGCACTGACCAGCAGTAAGTTTCTAGACACTAGATGAGAATAAACTGTACAGCAGAACATAACAGTCTAACTAGAGAACCCTACTTAACAGCAAGGAAAAAGGTAGGACCGATTTCTAAATTGAGGTGGGTGCTCCTTGGGCAGAGCAAAGGAAGAGGTGTGGGTTGGAGCAGTGTTCTTAAGTTTGCTTTTCTTGGGCAGAGCAAAGGAAGAGGTGTGGGTTGGAGCAGTGTTCTTAAGTTTGCTTTTCTTCTTGTTTTACCCATTAGCCTTAAAATGTATCTCATATTGAGTATCTTTGTGATGTACTCAAAAATAGGGTAGCACAGTGTTCTCAGGAAGCCTGGCACAGCCTGTCCTTTGTCCCTCCCCTCCTTGTTCCCAACTGTTGCAAACTCAGGCATATCAATCTGGCCACTTTTGAGGGCAGAAGAAAGAAGAGCAGTTGGGGAGTCAGTGGAGCCTGTGTCTGCTCACATCTGAAGCTCTGGGCAGGTAAGTCATGTAGTGTTTCTGAATGTGGAGTTTTCGCCTGCCCCAGGACCAGGACTAAGGAGAATGTGTCAGTACTAGGGGAGGTGAGGCGACAGCCCCCAGCACAGCACTGGTAACATAGGGGCTTCGGTTCAGCTCCCCAGGCCCTTGCTTCCACAAGCTTTGCAAGCTCCACACTCCTGAGTCTCAGCCAGGGGCCCGTCTAACACAAGGAGCCAGAAAGCTAAGCAATGCTGAGTGTGCTTCTCATTGCTCCAGCACAGTGTTCAGCAAGGTTCTCCACTTTCCTTTCTCATGGCCAGAGAGTCCTCTGAGAAAGAACAGCCTTGTCCTCTTGATTTTAAAAGGAGATGAGCCTTCCTGGCATGTTTCTGTTTGTGACTGAATGTTTTCTTCTAAGTCCTACCTTGAATGCTGTGTTATTTATTATGTGCAAGCCTGTCTAACAAGACAGCTGCAACTTGAACCAAGTCATCAGTGTACATGGAAAGCTGACACTTGTGGTAGTGTCTGTCTTGGACTCCCTGTGCCTGGTCATGCTAGGAACTTAACCTTGGTGAGTAAATCTGAAAATGTCTTGTCTTTTCATTTCAGTTCTTTCAACCTGGCATGGCAGAAAAAACAAAGCGCATACCCTCACATATACCAAATGATGAAGATATAGTTAAGTATATCTTTCCAATGCAATTCTTCCCTTGTACTTCAATAAAATTGTACAGTTTCTAAGTATTGACTGAGTAATCAGATTTGCTTTTAGATGAGAAAGGCTTGTTACGTTTGGTGATGAATTGGCTTTTTTTTTTTTAATGAAAATAAAAGGTTTATTTTGGCTCAGAGTTTTGTAGGTTGCAGTTTAACTGCTTGACCCCATTACTCTTGGGTCTGTGGTGAGGCAGGTCATCATGGCGGAAGCACTTCGTGGAAGAGGCTATTCACTTCCGAATTGGCTTTTTTTTTTTTTAAATTATTTTTTAGTTTTAGGTGGACACAATATCTTTATTTTACATTTATGTGGTGTTGAGGATTGAACCCAGTGCCTCATGCATGCTAGGCAAGTGCTCTATACCACTGAATCACAATCTGAATTGTCTTTTATATTGACTAGACATAAACATCAGTGATAGTTTAAATATTTATTACATATTTCTTTTTTTTCATTTTTTACTGGTTCTTTTTAGTTATACACAACAGTAGAACCCATTTTGATATAATTATAAAAGCATGGACTATGTCTTATTCTGATTCAGTTCCCAATACTTCTCTTTCTCCTTCTCTCCCCTGCTCCCTTCCCTCTACTCATCTTTCTGTCATTTATCCATAGTTATCTTTTTAAAATTAATTTCTTGTGGAGGTACACAGTGGTGAGATTCACTGTGGTACATTCATATATGTTGTTCTTGTTAGTGAAAAAGACCATTCCTAATTAAAATCAAAGAAAAATTAAAATTCTAGAACCTACCAACAGGTGTGCTAGTCAGCTTTGCATCACTGTGACAAAACACCCGAGGTGAGCAGCTTACAAGAGGAAAGGGTTACTTTGGCTCACAGTTTCAGAAGTTCAGTCCTTGGTGGCTCCACTATTTATGGCTTGTGGTGAGGACTCTGCTCATCATATTTCATCAGATTGAACCTTTCTTTGTTGACCCTCTCTCCCTTGCCATTTTTTAAAAATTTTTTACTTTTAGTTGTCAATAGACTTCATTTTATTTTTTTATATGCGGTGCCGAGAATTGAACCCAGTGCCTCACACATGCTAGGCAAGCACTCTACCACTGAGCCACAACCCTAGCCCCTCCCTTGCCATTTTCCACCTTTAGGAATCACTATTCCATGTTCAGGTTGATATTTTTTTTCTTTTTTCTTTTTGTAGCTATCACATGTGAGAGAATATGTGCTACTTATCTTTCTGTGTCTGGCTTATTTCGTTTAACACGAGGTCTACCTGTTCCATCCATTTTGCCACATATGATAGGATTTCATGCTCTAGGACCACATAATCTTCCATTGTGTATGTATGCTGTATTTCTGTATCCACACATATTTGTGGATGAGCACTTGACTGATTCCAGATTTTAGCTCTTGTGAATAGTGATGCCACAACATCTCTTTGGTATGCTGACTTCAATTCCTTTATATGGTAGTTCTATTTTTAGCTTTTTGAGGAGGAGCATTTTTGCTGTTCTCCATGGTGTTTAGACCAATTTACATTTCCACCAACAGTGTATGAAGTTTCCTTTTTTCTCTGCATCCTCACCAGCATTTGTTATATTTTTGATAATAGCCATTTTTGCTAAGGCAAGATGATATCTCATTTAGGGTTGATTTGCATTGTCCTAATGGCTAATGCTATTGAGTAAGTGTCCATATATTTACTGGACATTTGTATTTCTTCTTTTGAGAAGTGTCTGTTCAGAAAATATGCCCATTTTTATTTTTAATTTTTTCTAATCACTTTTACCATTTCTATTTTCTTTACATTTTATTGGTGCATTATGGTCATACATACTGATGGGATTTGTTATTGCATATTTGCACATGCACACAATATACAGTATAACAATTTAATTTGTCCAATATCATTTGCCCATTTTTAGATTATATTGTTTGATTTTTTTGTTATTTTTTTTTATTCTTTGTATACTTTAGATATTAACTCTCTGTTAGGTAAATAGTTGGCAAATATTTTCTCCCATTTTGTAGATTGTCTCTTCCCTCCTCGTTTTCTTTGCTGTGAAGAAGCTTTTTGCTTAACACAACTCTGTCAGTTTTTGCTTTTGTTTCCTGTGCTTTGGGGGGTCCTGTTCAGAAAAGCAGTGCCTGTACCAATGTTTTGAAAATTTTCATTCTGTCTTCTTACAGGACTTTCAGCCTTTTGCATCTCATTGTATGTCTGGTTCATTGTGAGTTCTACACAGGGTGAGAAGTGAGGGTCACGTTTCAATCATCCTTATGTGGATATCCAGCTTTCTCAGCACCATTTGTTGAATAGTCTGTTTTCTTCAATGCATGCCTTTGGCACTTTTGTGAAGAGTCAGCATAGATGCATTGGTTTATTTCTGTGTTCTTTGCTCTGTTCCATTGGTCTGTGGTCTGCTTTTATGCCACTATCCTGTTCTTTTGGTTATTGGGCTTCTATTGTATGTATTGGGATGCTTCCAGCTTCAGTTATTCAGGGTCTTTTGTGCTTCCAAGTGGTTGTGAGACTGAAGATGTGGTGCAGCTTGATGCACCTGCCCTCAGTCATGGAGGTGGCGTGAGTCTTCACACGACTGGTTGTGGTTGTCCAAACCTGATGCCCCCTCGGTGGCGGCCACTTTCCATCACAGTGGTAGTATCTAGCCCATGCAGCAAAGGATGAGAACAGTGTGACATTGGCATAAAAACAGGCCCAGCACCTGATGAAACAGATAAAGAAACCTAAAAATTAACCCGTGCACCCAGGATAACTGACTCTTAGAAATGCTAGACACTGGGAAAGACACATGTTGCTGGGAAAGGTGCATTTTAAGCTTGGTCCCTATCTATCACCCTGTAGAAAAATGACTTAAAAAGAATCAAAAGCCTTAAATTAAGAACGGAAACTCTGAAACTACTGGAGGGAAAACATGGGGGAAACACTTCAAGATGTTCATTCAGGCTGGGAATGTGGCTCAGTGGTTAAGTGCCCCTGGGTTCCATTCCCAGTATCAAAAAAAAAAAAAAAGTTCCAGATAATCATCCAAAAGATGGTTATTAATGTCAATAATACAAAAATAGCTCAAAAACTTCACAAAACCCAAGTAATTTAATTTTAAAAAGGCAAATGATCTTAATAGACACTTTATCAAAGGAGAAATACAAATGGCCAATAAATATCTGAAAACTGCTCAGTATCATTGGGTGTCAGGGAAATGCAAAGCAATACCTCCAGGAGACACCATCTGACCTGGTTAGAGTGGCCGCTTTCAAAAGCTCACAGAACAGCCATGGCTGGACACAAGGTGGAGAAAAGGTAGCTTCCTGCACTTCGGGTGGGAATGGGAACTGGAACAGCCCCTGTGGATGCTCCCAAAGCTGAAAATAGAGCTGCCGTGGGACCCAGCTGTCCCTTCCTGACTGTCAAGGGACAGTGAGCACTCCCTGTCCTGGGCAGCACCCTCTGCATGGCTAAGGCATGGAGAGGCCTAGCTGGCCATTTGAGGCAAAAGTAATTTGATTTGTTTTATTTAAATTTCAAATTGATTTTGGTTACTTTACATATGTAAACATGTGTTAAGTATATATATATATATATATATATATATAAAACATATATATGTTAACATATATATTACATATATATGTTAAATCCTAATATATATAAGAAAAAGAATTTTAAAGTTTTCCTTGTTAGTAGAAAAAATTATTGTTTTAGAATAACAGGTTGGGGTTTTGTCAGGCATTTGCTTCTTTCCCTATTTCTTTTTAAATTTAGAAACGTGTCTAATTTGTGATTGGAGCTAGATTTAGTTAGTTTGTGACAATTGTGGCAATATCTGTGTTTCTGCACAGACTTCCTTTTGCACAAGCTTACTGAATACATTTGCATCTTGAGAGTCTGAGGTGTGATAATCAAGTGATAATTCTATTTTCCTTCATGTTATCATTATTGTTCTTTCAAATGGTTTTGTTTCCTCTTCTAATTGAAAACTTAAAAATTTTTCTTTTCTTAAAGCAAAAAGAAAATATCCGTTGCTTGACCACCATTGGGCATTTTGGTTTTGAGTGTCTGCCCTACCAGCTGGTGAACAGATCCATCCATCAAGGGTTCTCTTTCAATATTCTCTGTGTGGGTAAGTGCCAGACACTATAACCGACCTGTTTCCTCTTTTCTCATCTTCATTTCGACTTAAACTTCATCATACTGATTCTGTTAGGAATATTTTATTATTTTGTATCAGTTTCTCACTCCTTAGCCTATGTCAAATTTTAAAGGTTTCAGAATTTTAAGTGTAGTAGGTTAGTGTGCATTTTCTTTCTCTGCTGTGTCCATGAAGAAAGGAATCATGACTAGCACATCCACTTCCAGAGACATTTGTCTTTCAAGTATTTGGGACCACTTATTAAGATTAATATAATTTTCAATTAACAAATTATATACATTTATAGAGTACAATGTGGAGTTTTGGTATATGAATATCAGAATGATTAAATTAAGCTAAGTAACAAAGTCATCATCTCACTTACTTATTAGTTTCCATTGTGAGACATTGAAGTTTTTCTTTGAGTTATTTTGAGACACAATACTTTCCTGTTAACTATGGCCTTCCTGCTGGAAGGTTACTCTCACAGATGCTTCTCTTCTCTGAAATGTGTGCTTCAGTGGTCAGCGGTGCTTCAGCCTCTCCCAGCCTTCTGCCAGGGTTCTCTCCCTAGGACCCCCACACCCCCTCTCCTCTCCCAGCCCCCTCTCCTAGCCCCTCTCCCAGTCCCCCTTCCCAGTCCTCGCTCCCAGCCCCCTCTCAACCCCTCTCCCAGCCCTTTTCCCAGCCCCTCTCCCAGTCCCCCTTCCCAGTCCCCCCATCCCAGCCCTCTCCCAGCCCCCCTCCCGGCCCTTTCCCAGCCCCTGGCCATCATCCACCCTTTGCTCTGAGTTTGACTTTTATAGGCTTGAGGGCCCTTCCAGCCACTATGGTGTTCAGTGTCCCTGCTAACCCGTCTTATGCCACTGCGATGACCTCTCTATGTCGGTTACAGGAGAAACTGGAATTGGAAAATCAACACTGATTAATACGTTGTTTAATACTAATTTGAAAGATAAAAAATCCTCACATTTTTATTCGAATGTTGGACTCAAAATTCAGACATATGAACTTCAGGAAAGCAAGGTTCAACTGAAACTGACAGTTGTGAAGACAGTGGGGTACGGAGATCAGATAAACAAGGAGGCCAGGTGGGTGTCTTCTTGTGTTAATTATAATGGCTTTGGTACTCCCACAGAGTTACCTTAGATTAGGTAGAGGGAAGGGAGAGGAGGGGTGTGGACAGGAAGGACAGAAGAATGAAACAAACATTATTACTTTATGTATATATCTGACAGCATGACCAAAGTGATTCTACAACAGGTACACTCAGAAAAGTGGGAAATTATATCCCATCTATTATGATATATCAAAGTGCATAAATGCAGTCTACTGTCATGTATAACTAATTAAAACAAATTAAAAAATTTCAAAAAATTATAATGACTTTTGTACTTGAAGGAACCTGCTTTCTTTGTCCTTGACTAAGTTGTGACATTCTTCTAAGGTAACTGACACCTTTCTTAATTATTTTCTAATTAATGTTTTTATGGAACTGATACTTTTATATATCCATTTGTTTAATTTTTATAAAATTTTTGAATGAATTATAGCAAACATTTGTTTATGTAGTTTCTATAAGTTTTACCTCCTTTCAAAAAATAAAGACTTTTTATAGTCCTTTTTCTTTTTTATTGATTTTTTAATACATGACAGTAGAATCCATTTTGATATAATTATACAAGCATGGAATATATTTATTCTAATTAGGACCCCATTCTTGAGGATGTGCATGATGGTGGGATTCACTGTGGTGTATTCATCTCTGTACATTGGAAAGTTATGTCAGATTCATTCCACTGAGTTTCCTTTTCCTATCCTCCCTCCCTTTTCTTCATTCCCCTCTGTCTAATCTACTGGACTTCTATTTCCCCTACCCCCAACCTTACTGTAGGTTAGCATCCACATATCAGAGAAAGCATTGGACTTTTGGCTTTTTGGAACTGGCTTATTTCACTTAGCATGATAGTCTCCATCCATTTACTGCAAATGTCATAAAGTCATTCTTTTTTAAGGCTGAGTAATATTTCATTTTCTTTAACCGAGTAGTATTTCACTGTGTATAAATACCACATTTTCTTTATCCATTCATCTGTTGAAGGGCACCTAGGTTGGCTCCATAGCTTGGCTATTGTGAATTGACCTGCTATAAACATTGATATGGCTATGTCACTGTAGTATGATGATTTTGAGCCCTTTGGGTTTATTCTGAGAAGTAGGATAACTTGGTCAAATGGTGGTTCCATGCCTATTTTTTTTGAGGAATCTTTATACTGCTTTCCAGAGTGGTTGCATGAATTTACAGTTCCACCAGTAATGTATTAGTGTTCTACTAGATTTTTATATCCATTATAGGAGGAAATAAATTGTGTCATAGCATAGAATTTTATTTCATACTCCTTTCTGAAATGTCTGTTCATTAATGATTATATGTGACGCTCCTACTTGTTTAAAGTTAGTTTTAGAGAAAGGTGGGCTTCCTGGTGGCTAGTTTAGTGTGCCATAGCCAGGGATGTGTGGAGGCTACCACTTGCTGATGGTGAGTACACATTAGACCCCACCCTCTCAGTGGCACAGTGAGTGGCTTGAAATCATGAGGCATCACTAGTTCTGCTAGTCTGCATCTTTCCCTCCAGAGATGCATGTTCACCAGCATTCCACTGTTGAAGGCTATGAACTGACACTCAAGTTATAATATAAATGTGAAAAAGACTTGGGTGAAATTTAGAGGAGGGGCAGAAGCAGATTGCATGTTGCCTTAAGTAGCAGTTTATATTTGGAAAACTAGTATCACCAAAATAATTGATCTGAAAGCATTTAAAAACACTAGTGTTGGTATGCTAAAGGTAGAGGACAGGGTTTGCTGCATTATGGAGGAAGACTCACGCCATCCTGAGGAAGTCGCTTCAGTGCTGCATCCAAATTCTATCCACAAGAGGCTCAAGACACACACCCCATTTCCCACATTTCTACAATCCAGAAGCCAGAATCAGCCCAACTCCACCTGGGCTCAAGACCATTCTTTCTCTGCCTTTTCTGGCTATGGTGTATGCCTGCCATCTTTTCCTGTATTCCTCCCATTCCTGCTCTACCTGCACATGGCATCGATGAGATCTAGCTTCAGTGGGCTCAGTTCCCTGGTCTCCAGGCAGAGCGCAGGGATAGCTGGGATCCTGCTCTTGTGGAAATATCTGGACTTCACATCCTAATGATAAGGAACATTGTGGTGGTGGTGACATTGCTTCTGTGGAACATATGGCACCTCATTTCAGTCTTGGAATGCTTGGTGGGACCCAAGGGATCTCTTTTTGGAGGTCGAAAAATGTATCAGTGTAATGCCGGATTTGGAGGACCCTAAAAGATCATCAGAAGCCCAATCTGATGCCAAGCACACAGGGTCTTTAATGCAAGCTTGAGCCTGGACTCACAACCGTTTCTGATGCAGCGGTTTCGAGGAGTGAGTCCTGGTCCTTTGTTCAGTGAGATTTTATAGTTTTTTTGGGATACTCTAAGCATCACACAGCAAATCAGTCCATACCGTGGGAAAATCAAAAACAACTCTTAGCATTGATTACTACATTCATTGGTGGGAACAAGTTGGGTAGGGGTGATTGATTAGAACAAGAGGTGGATTCGTTTGAACTGATTGGTTTAATCCGTGAGAGGTGTACATGCTAAACTACATGGTTTCCTAACATGTTATCAATCGCTGAGGCTACTTTGGGGGGGGGTTCTGGGGGGGGGTGTCATCTGGCATTCCAAGTATTTTCCCTTTCTTCCGCTGATGGTAGTTGCTAGGGGGTTGTTATGAGTCTTCAAGGTCAGGCATTTAGGCCTCAAACATTCTTTGGTCTTTCCAGGCGCTAGTGTAACTGAGTCAGGGACACTTGGCGCTGCAGATCTCTCCTGTTAACAGACAAACAACTCAGCAGGGTGGCTAGTGCCTAAGAACGCTCTGTGGGTTTTTCCAAGGACAAGGGTCACTTTGGACAGGCCTTAAGGTAGACGCTGGTTTAATTTTATTTTTAATTTTTTTTATAATGGAGTCACATCAGTTTCTCATCAGCCGCTGAGAATCTAAGGTTCAGCTCTGCTCCTGCAAAGCAATGGTTTTTGTGGTCCTTAGGCTGCTTTTGCACAGCATAGTCCAAATTCTAATTTTTGAGCTCGGGGAGCCCCACATCTGCTTGGTCTCCAAAATGATAGTACACATCTCAAGACCTGTATTCTGGGGAGTTGGGGTGAGGGACAGGGATTAGCATTGATTGCCATCCTGGGGCACAGAGAAGCTCTTCACAGCTTGGACCCAGGGTGGACAGTGTGGTGGTGACTTGCCTTGGGTATGAGGTGTCACTTGTTAAGAGGAGTCTTCAAGTGGAAGCAAGGGAAAGGGATAGGTGTGGCAGTGGGCCCCAGCATTGACTCTCTTTATGCAGGGATGTGGTGTACAGTAGTTCCCACTGTTGGGCTAGGATACAGTCTTGGCTCCTGTTGTAGGGCGAACACTGCTGGGCTTTGTAGGCTCCAGCCAATCCTTCAATGGGATTTAGCTAATTTATAGCTGTATCACACACATTGGTGATTGATATGTGTGCACATTTGAAATGATCAGTGCAGTCAAGATAATCACCATAGTCATCATCTCACATAGTTAACATGTGCGTGAGGAGACCTTAGGGTCTGCTGTCCCAGCCAACTGCAGGTACATCCCAGAACATGTTGCCCATGGTCATCATGCTATGTGGCAGATATCCAGACTTGTGTATATGGCAAAGTTAAGACTGAGGTATTTACTTATCCATTTCACTCTGTTGATACTGCTGGTTACCAGGAGAGTCCTTACTTCCCAGAATGCTGTATAACACCAGAGAAGCACCTGAGGAAAGTGTAGAGTGGAAAGTAAAAGGCTTTATTAAAGAATAGGAGAGGGGCTGGGGATGTGGCTCAAGCGGTAACGCGCTCACCTGGCATGTGCGGGGCCCTGGGGTCGATCCTCAGCACCACATAAAAATAAAAAAATAAAGATATTGTGTCCACTGAAAACTAAAAAATAAATATTAAAAAAATTCTCTCTCTCTCTCTCTCTCTCTCTGGGGAAAAAAAAAAAAGGATAGCAGAGAAGACACACCCCCCCAAAGGGATCTGAGCTCTTATCCCTTTATATCTAAGGTCTTCTTGTCTTCCTACATTTCTGTCCTGTATTTTGCTTATTTCCCTCTATCCTGCCTGGGTTGGGAGTTCGGGTGGGAAGGCCAAAAGGTGGAAAATAAGTGGGCCAATGGGGAGAGACCTGGGCAGAAAGGGCCTAGGGGGATTTGATCAGCACCTTCCTATTTGCTGGGAGCTACTTCATTAATAGTTCTTTTAGCTTGGGGACATTAATATTTCAATCTCCCAGGTGTAGTTCTGATTTCTCCGGGCTCAGATCCGACTTCATTTTCTTTATTAGACTTGGTATCAGACCTGATTTATCTAGCTACACTAACTACACATCTTTAAATTTGACTTCATTATCGTGTATATAAATTAGTGTTAAAATTATTAGTCCATTTCATATGAAATGTAAAGATACTAAATATGGTATTCATTTATAGTTCTTTTTGTTTTTACCCTGTGTTCAGATAAAGCTGTCTTACATAATTACTTTGCTGTGTTTTCCTTCCCAGTACCTTTCTCTGCACTTTAATTATTTATTTGATAAAATAGCTTTATTTTTTTATTTTGTACTCTATTTTATATTTCTCCTACAATTTGGTTGATATTTTAAAAGAGGATATAACTTTTATTTTATTTTTATTTTCATGCCAGTTATAAAATTCCTAGTATTTATTTAT